AGTTATAAATATTATAGTATGTGGACTTTGTTGCCCTGAAGGGGAATACATAGTACATAAATTATGCATTTTAGAGAATTATCATGAGACCATTTAACTTGACTAGGAAGTAGTTTGAAATTATTATAGATGTATTCTTTGAGGAACCTAATGAAACTATACGTTTTGTTTTGTTTTGTTTTTATTTTCAAGTGACCTCAGGGCAGGGCTCAAACTCACAACCCTGAGATCAGTAGTTTCATGCTCCATTAGCTGAGCTTACCAGGCACTCCAAGTGGAGCTATAAGTTGAGAGTGGTCTAAGTCTTTAGCTGGCATTATCAGTTAGTTGTTTAGAAGTTGAGTCCATTGCTATCATGGTGTTTCAGTTATTTCTTACTTCTTAATAAACTACCCCAAAACCTAGTGACTCAAAACAACTTATTCTTCCTCATGATTCTGTGGGTCTGCTTGGTGGTTGGTTCTGTTCCACATGGTGTCATGCTGGGTCCTTGGCTGAGCTGGTCTAAAAGGTCCAAGAAGGCTTCATTCACATGGCTGGCCTCTTCGTGCTGATGCACATGACTTCTCCCCACATGGTATCTCAGTGCTGTGTAGTAGCCCTTGGCGACCAAGTGAGAGTAGGTAGAAGCTGTTAGACTTCTTAAAGGCTAGGCCCAGAATTGGCACATTATCCTATCCATTTTGTCAATCAGGGCAAGTCACAAGGCCAGCACAGATTCAAGGAAGTATGGAGATAGTCTCCATCTCTTGATAGTAGAGTGGCATGAATGTACGGAGAGGAAGGAATTGATGGTGACCATCTTTGTAAATTCTCTTACATAAATGGAAGGAGAGCAGGACTAGTTTCCTCCAAGTGATTGGAACATAAAATATCTGAAAAATACATTTAGCACTAGAATTGGGGAGGCAGTTCTCATTGTAATATCCTGGCAAGAGATCATATTAATTAGCTTTGGAGGTGATGAATAGTGGTCAGTGTCTGTATATTTCTAAGAAAGAACTAAGAGGATTTGCTGATGGATTAGATGAGAATTAGGAGAAGAGTAAAGCAGGACAAGAAGATTTTTTTGGTGAGAAAAACTAGATGGAATGGAAGGTGGTCCCATTTATCAGAATGGAGAGTATTGGGGAAGGAACAGATTCTTGGGTAGAAATCAGGAGCTTCACTTTTGGCATATTATGTCTCTGATGCTTGTTAGTTTTTTTTTTTTTTGTTTTGTTTTTTTTTTTCCTTTTAAGATTTTACTTATTTTACAGAGAGAGAGAGAGGGAACACAAGCAGGGGGAGTGGGAGAGGGAGAAGCAGGCTTCCCGCTGAGCAGATAGCCTGACGTGGGGCTCGATCCCAGAACCCTGGGATCATGACCTGAGCCGAAGGCAGATGCTTAATCGACTGAGCCACCTAGGTACCCCCACTTGTTAGAAAGTTGAGTGAAGAAGTCAATCGGTAGTTGGAAATACCAATTTGGAGGGTAGGAATTGGAGGTGAAAATTGGAGATGTCACTAGCTTGTGATGTTTAAAATCATGGGATCAGACAAGATTACAAAGGGACTGAGTATGGGGCTTTAGGAGGAAGGAGAAACCAGCAAAAGAGAGTGAGAGAGGCCATTAAGGTAAAGGAAGGAAGCAGAGTGAACTGCTTCTGGGAGATTCATGGAAAAAAACAAAACAAAACAAAACAAAACGAAAGAAAAAGCCTGTGGATAAGGAAGGTGTCATCAGCTGTATAGAATACCACTGAAAGTTTGTGATTTAGATGGATTCATGTGAGTGGGGATGGTGGTAAGTTGCAGCCTTTGGGTTTGGCATTAGATAGATGGAGAGTGATTTATGAATTTTGGAGCAACCTGGAATATAGCCTTTCTTTCAGGATTCATTTATTAGTATCTCATTTTTTTTTAAACTTTCCAGAAATATCTGTGAGTGTGTTCTATTTATAACCTGCTAGAGATGGAAGAGTCCTAAGTTTAGTAGATCCTCTTGCCAGTGGACAAGACTTGTTGCAGTTGACCTGCTTTCTGGCATCTGTTTCAACATTTCTGGTGACTGAGCTTATTTTCTAGGTTACCCATTCTACTTTTTATTAAATATACATTTGGAAACTCCTTTGAAGCTGTCTTAGGTTTCAAGGCAGTGTAGACCAGGTGCAGTGCTTTTCTGTGGTTATCTAAAGACTTGTTTTTAGGGGTGCCTGGGTGGCTCAGTCGGTTAAGTGTCTGCCTTTGGCTCTGGTCATGATCCAGGGTCCTGGGATTCAGCCCTGCATCAGGCTCTCTGCTCAGTGGAGAACGTGCTTCTCCCTCTGTCTCTGCTGCTCCCCCTGCTTGTGCACACTCTCTCTCTCTGTCAGAAAAAAAAAGGTGGGGGGTGCCTGGGTGCCTCAGTGGGTTGAGCCTCTGCCTTTGGCTCTGGTCATGATCTCAGAGTCCTGGGATTGAGCCCCACATCGGGCTCTCTGCTCAGCGGGGAACCTGCTTCCCCCTCTCTGCCTGCCTCTCTGCCTACTTGTGATCGCTGTCTCTGTCAGATAAATAAATAAAATCTTAAAAAAAAAAAGACTTGATTTGAGTATGTTAACTAACTGAAATTAAAAAGTTAAAGACTTGATTTGACAAACAAGGTTGAATCTATTGGCCAGTACATTTATGGATATCATGGACTAAGTTTAAAATACTTCAATCACTTTGTTATTTTAGGATGCTGGAATAAGTAAAGCATTCCTTCCATTTTATTCATAAAAATTTAGCTATAAGAAATACAAGAAACCTTTTGTAAGTACCCTAAATTCCCTCATTTTTGCATATTGAAAAATCTGGTCTTTGGTAAAGCAGCTTTCTCCTCAAATTATGAATCCTGGTTTTGGCCTCAGTGGTCACCAAAACTAGGTGATCTGTTATAATCAGTTGATTTGAAACCAGTGACTAGATCTCAGTAACTCTTTTTAGGACTTGGTTTATGCAAGTCCTTTGATTAGTCAAATACTACTTTTTTTTTTTTTTAAGATTTTATTTATTTATTTGACAGACAGAGATCACAAGTAGGCAGAGAAGCAGGCAGAGAGAGGAGGAAGCAGGCTCCCCGCTGAGCAGAGAGCCCTACTCGGGGCTCGATCCTAGGACCCTGGGATCACGACCTGAGCCGAAAGCAGAGGCTTTAACCCACTGAGCCACCCAGGCGCCCCCAAATACTACTTTCAAAATGTGTTAAATATCTGCTATTTTAAGAAAGGAATACCAATAAAAATGAGACACCGTAACATATTTTTTTAGTGCTATTAGTTCTACCAAAGGATTCTCCATAAAGGCCTGAGAGAAGTGACTTGCCCAGGGCACTGCAGGAAATTAGTGGAACCCCATTTTCCCCTTCCTTTGACTCTGCCCTGCCTTCATTCCTTTCATTTAAGTTGTCATATCCTGAAAGTAGCTTACACAGCAGCCTGATCATGTTTGCAGTGGCAAGTTGGAGCAGAGATGTCCTATTTCTTGCTTTCTCTGAAGAAAAAAAGAAGTCTTGTTTGTCTTCTTTGAAGGTTGATTTATTGTCTTCCTGTAGGAAAGAGAGAAGTTCAGGTAGTCTGGGGCTTACTACAGAATAAAAGTATCTGGACATCCTATCGTAAGATGGAAAGGCAAACCGCTTCTTCCTTGAAGGTTTTTTTTTTTTTTTTTTTTTTTTTTTTTTTTTTAGCAGCTTAATCTTAATACAAATGAATTGCGGAGAAGCTGGAGGGGGCCCTAAGGAGGTATGAGAGTAGAACAGAGGGCAGGAGGAAGTAGATGCCCTGGCTTTATCTCAGGCTTGTGATTGTGACTCACGGGGTTTGTTTTAGATTGCAAAAGAGGTAGGAGTGTCTGGAGTGGAGTCCACCGTGCCTGGTTGTCCCACCTCCTTAACAAATTTAGTAAGATCCTGGCTTGCAGAAAGAAATCTTTTAAATTTGGAATATTGTTAAGAAGAGGGAGAAATTGTGCTGGAACTTTTTGATGAGGAGCTCTGGTGCTTGTGCCATGGGGGCCCTTGTTGAACTGAAAGGTATTGCCAGAGAATGTGGGATGTGAGGTCCGAGATCTGGGTTGAATCCCAACTCCATTTTCTAAATACATGATGTTGATTAATGCTGAGGAAATTGAGGTCTGGGGAGGTTTGAATGGTGAATACTGCCTGATAGGATCCTGGGGACAACGTGTGTAAAGCATCAATGTGGTATTATTCCATAGTAACTTCAGTGGCAGCTGTTGTATTTTTGCCCTCGGGATTTAAGTATGAAGGCTGGATGTAGATTATATTTGGTGATAACAGAAATACAGAAAACTTGTTCTGGTTTTGGTTATGGACTCATGTAAGTAGAAATCTGTGGTGGTGTGTTTGTTTTTATTTCACTGGGTGTGTTAATACCTTTTTTGAAATTACTGTATAACCTAGATACAGTAATATATATATATTAAGTAAACAACGTGAATTTTTATATATGTATTGCATTCAAATTAATTCAAAACACAAGAAAATCATCTCCATCTATTTCCCTGGTCTTAGAGCTGGTAGTTTCATATATTCCAGAAATTCTTCTATGCATGTATCAACAAACTTTTTTTTTTTTTTTTTTTTTAAGATTTTATTTATTTGACAGCACAGGCAGGGGGAGTGGCAGGCAGAGGTGAGGGAGAAACCGGCTTTGTGCTGAGCAGGGAGCCCGATGGGACCCTGGGATCATGACCTGAGCTGAAGGCAGAGGCTTTAACCCACTGAGCCACCCAGGCGCCCTGGTATGTAGCAGTTTAACTGTTCTTTTCATAGTAGTCTCAGTTGAGTGTCTTTTTATGTCCTAGGACTATTGGTTAGGTATTTTTATAAGGTAAATTCTTAGATTGGGAATTGCTGTGACAGGAGATCTGCACATTTAAATTTGTAAGTGCTCTGCCAAAAACACTTAACTTATATTGACGTGGTTAGTCATAAGACAACCAAGAGAGCAGTTTTATTTTTCTTCTTCTTTTTTTTTGTTATGAAACTCTTTACGAATTTGTGGGTCATCCTTGCACAGGGGCCATGCTAATCTTCCCAGTATTCCAGTTTTAGTATACATGCTGCCAAAGTGAGCTCAAGACACTAGTTTTCAATGAAGTATGCAATAAGACAGTTTGGTTAAAAATTGTCTTTTCAGGCATGGATGACTGTATGACTCTAGGTATAGCCTTATTCTTTATATCATGGGTGTTGTGCTAACTCTGACAAGTCTAGGTCCTTATTCATTTGTGCCCTTTGTATGTGAAAATTAATCTAGAAACTATAACAATTAAGTTCTGGTAACTTTTAGCCCGAATACATAGGGTTTGTATTCTCCCATTCTTAGCACCTTGAATTTGGGATTGTACCTCAGGGACTAATAATATTTTATTGCAGTGAGAACTCTACTAAGTCATATTTTGAGGAAAAATTTGATTAAAAACTAGTTTCCAAAGCAGAGTGCTATTCAGCTTTCCTAGGTGGGCAGATGATGATTGGGGGCTTAATTAAAAGAACCTGTCTGGCTTCCAGTTAGGGAATAAGTCATGGGGGATGCAAGGAGGCCATAGGGAATGTAGTCCATGGTGCTGTAGTAGCCTTGTGTGGCGGGAGATGATGGCTACACTTGTGGTGAGCAGAGCACAACATACAGACTAGTTGAATTGCTGGTTGTACACCGGAAGCTAATGTAACGTTGCACATCAACGTTTAAAAGATCCTTTAAAACAAAAGGAACCTATGATGGTAAAGCTGTTTGAAAAGTGATTGTGTTCTCCCCCGTGACTCCCAAATGTCTGTTTTAGGGGCACCTGGATAGTTCAGTCAGTTAAATATTGGGCTCTTCATTTCAGCTCCAGTCTGGATCTCAGGGTGGCGAGTTCAAGCGCAGCATTGGGTTCTACACTGGACGTGGAGCCTACTTTAAAAAAAAGTGATTACCAAATGTTTGTTTTAAAAGTTAGCTGCTCTTGGAAAAATGTTGAAGCTCTTGTTTTTTGTTTTTTGAGAGAAAAGTGTGGTTGAAAATTTTAATTTAATTTTTTAAAAAAGATTTTATTTATTTGACAGAGAGAGGTCACAAGTAGGCAGAGAGGCAGGCAGAGAGAGGGGGGAAGCAGGCTCCCCACTGAGCAGAAGAGCCCTATGTGGGGCTTGATCCCAGGACCCCGAGATCATGACCTGAGCTGAAGGCAGAGGGTAACACACTGAGCCACCCAGGTGCCCTGAAAATTTTAATTTTAAAATAATCTTAGAATTTTTGGGTGCTAATTTACCAACTTCTGCATTTTTGAGTTTCAGAAATGAATTTATTTCCCATGGCAGATGTAAATTTTTAGTTTAACAAGCACAGTGTGAGCACTTGTGCTCAAGGTCAGTTGAATGCTAGATTTCAGGAGCTAGAAAGAATAAGATACTTGTTCTGAAAAAAAAAAAAAAAAGTACGTGGAATAGAGTGGCTCTCACTTTGTTCTCCTTCAATGCCTGGGTGATATTTTTATCTTGAACACCAGCAGTGGCTCACTGTGGCATTGATCCAGAGGGTGGATGAATATCTCTGCAGGGAAAGAGAAGGCGTAAATATGTCATGAGTATGTATGGTGTGCCCCAGAAACACAGGTTGGGGGGCACTAGGCTTAGGTGGGTACTGGTAAAGCCAGCCATGCATAGGTTCAGAGGAGGGATGTGAAGGTAGATGGAGGCTCTGTGCAGTGGGAATGGAAAAGGCAGGAGGGACAGCAGGAGCCAAGGCATGTGAGTGTGAAATATCCCGGTGTGTGCGGGGGGAACTACAAGCTGTTTGGGATTAGAGATGCTCAACTGTGAGGCTGGATAGTGGTTGAGGCTGAGCCTAGAATGGGGGTGAGAACAGCCCGGGTGCTTGAGGAGTGACTATTACTTTAATTCTTGATGTGTTTAACTTTCAGAGGTCAGTCAGTTTAGTTAATGCCATTTAGCAGATGGTTTTTGGGATCATCATGCAAGGCTTGATACCTAGATTACTTCGGGGTTCTGCTCCCCAGAGATCATCTTGAAATGCTTTTACCTTTGAAGTACTCCATGAAAATGACTGTGCCCCAATAAACTGTGGGATTTAAGGCTGTTCTTAGGACACTCTCTGACAGGGTAATTAACGGTAAATCGTGATGTGATGAGGAACCCCGTAGTAAGACTGACTGTGTTGTTATATTACCTTTTTTAGGTTGTGTATGACAAGACAGTCATCAGTAGTGATGACTAAAACACCTGGCGTTCTGATTTTTATTTATTAAGGCATTTTAAGAGATAGAATGAACCGTTGGAGAAAAGTGAGACACTTCTGTGTGCACACACGATTAACTGAGCAAAATTAGGGGCCACAGCAAAGCACAGCAGGAGGGAGGGCCAGTGACATTTTGCTTGGAATCACCTAGACCTCAGTTAGAATCCTTGTTCAGCTCTGTGATCCTGGGCACACCGATTAAACTCACCACACCTCTCAGTTTATCTAGAAATAGGGGCAATAAAACTTAATGCACAAGATTATCAGGAATTAAATTATGTTTGTAAAGGATTCCTTGGAGTATCTGACACCTAAGTGGTATTGTCTCGTATTAATAAGTTTGTGTATTTACATGTGGCAATTGAAAATAAAATATAATTATACCGGGGTTGCTGGGTGGCTCAGTCAGTTAAGCGGCTGCCTTCGGCTCAGGTCATGATCTCAGGGTCCTGGGATTGAGCTCTGCATTGGGCTCCTTGCTCAGCTGGGAGCCTGCTTCTCCCTCTGCTGCTCCCCCTGCTTGTGCGTGTTCTCTCTCTCTCTGTCAAATAAATAAATCTTTAAAAAAAAGGTAATTAATTATTCCTGCATAAACCCATGGTTTGTGTCTCATATGCACATAAAAAGCTTTCACATTTCTTCTTAGAATATGAGTGTGTTGTGAATAATACTTTGTACTTTGGATCTAGACTGGTAGCTTTTAGGATCCCTAAAATCTATCTAGATGTGAAATTGACTTGGGATACTGTTTAAAAAAAATAGATTAGGGCACCTGGGTGGCTCAGTGGGTTAAGCCTCTGCCTTCGGCTCAGGTCATGATCTCAGGGTCCTGGGATCAAGTCCCACGTAGGGCTCTCTGCTCAGCGGGGAGCCTGCTCCCCCCGCCCCCCGCCTGCCTCTCTGCCTACTTGTGATCTCTGTCAAATAAATAAATAAAATATAAAAAAAATTAGATTAGGGAGAGGCGCCTGGGTCAGTTAAGCATCTGCCTTCGGCTCAGGTCATGATCCCAGAGTCCTGGGATCAAGCTCCGCATCATGTGGGGTTCCCTGCCATGGGGAGCCTGCTTTTCCCTCTGACCGCCCCCCCATGTGCGTATGCACTCCCACTCACAAAAATAAATAAAATCTTTAGAAAAATAGATAAGTAACTATTAATTTCAAAGAGGGAGAAAACAGTATGAAAACGTACAGAAAATAAAAGTAAAATATACAAAAAAAGTGGGAGTTCAGAAGGAAATATCTGAAAGGCCAATGTACTTAGGAAGGAAATATCTGAAAGGCCAATGTACTTAGTTTTACTAGTTACTAGATGAATGACAATTGTAATGGCAATTTTTGCCAATCACGTTGGGAAAAATGAACAAGATTGATAATATCTGGTGTTGGCAAGAGTGTGAAGGAATAGGCACTCATAAGCTAGAGAGTAAATTGGCAGACTTCTTGGTAGGTCAGTATCTGGTAGAACTTAACGTGTAACTTACTGTCCCTCAAACAAGTGTATGAAGTGTATGAAGAAAATCCAGCCTCACACAGATGTATAGTTGGAAAAGGAAAGGGATATTTTAATCATCTTTTTAGATAATTGCGGATATTCTTTGCTCCCACATTAAAACTCAACAAGTGGTAGTTTTTTAAAGGCTAGTTGAAATGTGGGATATGGTATCAGTGTGAAATCCTATCAGTGAATTCTATACTAATAGGTTAGAATCCACTCTACTCTCTTGCACTTTGTATGGCTCCTTTATCCTTAAATATTGGGAAACTGTCAAAGCTTACAGTTGGCCAAAATTTTGACTTTTTTACTTAAAATCTCCAACTTAGTCATTGCCAACAAATACTGTTAGTTTTTCTTGAAGTGACTGTTTGACCTTTTTCTCTTTTGAGAAAGGTCCGCCGGATATGCAAGCTTAAATAAACATAGTTTGTCTGTAGCTCTCTCAAGCAAAAATGGTGCTCTGTGAAGAAAAGAGGCCGATTCAGTCTTGCATCTCAAACCACACTGCACGGTGCTTTTTCTCCAGGAAAAGCTGTGAGAGACAGCAGGAGCACTTTATGCATACTGTCCTTTTCTTCACATAATTGTTGACAAGACGTGTACCCAAGGGTTACTGAAGAAAATCAATAGTTTTTACTGCTTCATCGAGGACATTTAAAAATGAAACTTGGATGGTATTTTACTGTGAATGCTTGTGAAGAAAGTAATGATGACTACAGCTGAGTGCTGCTGCCTTGATTCATGCCAAGCCGCCAGCAGTTTACCAACCCTTGTTTTTGCCCCGTTTGCTTCAGTGCAAATGTCAACACAGTGAAAAGAGCAAATAACATCTTAGTGTTATAAAAATAGTTTTGACGGGGTGCCTGGGTGGCTAAGTCAGTTAAGCATCTGCCTTCAGCTCAGGTCATGGTCCCAGGGTCCTGGGATGGAGCCCTGCATCCGGCTCCTTGCTCACGGGGGGCCTACTTCTCCCTCCGCCTGCTGCCCCCACTGCTTGTGCTCTCTCTCTCTGACAAGTAAAATCTTGGAAAAAAAAATGCTTTTGATTCCTTCCCTCTTGACAGTCTCGGGGGCCCCCAGGAGTCCACATACTATATAATGAGAATTGCTGCTCTACACTAATGTGATATTTGAAATTATTTGGATTAGGTTCTCCTGTGGATATGTATTTACATCATCACACAACAGATGGCAAGAACAAGTGAGGATTTTCTGCAATTCCATGGCATGTTAGTCTCGATAGGGAGTTTTATACAAGTAGGTTTGTGAAAAACAGGTGGGGGAAGAGAAAACAAAACAAAAGAAAATAAGCACAAAGGAAAAATCTAGGTGTATGAAG